TGTGGTCGATACAACCTCGACCGGGTCTAAAACCAGCCTGTTTATCATGCGTGCACCGTTCGCGTGCGGCAGACAATCGGTGGAGTATGATGCCAGCGAGAAGTTTAGAGGCAATATTGATTAAACTAATTCCTCTGTGGTTTTCACGAGAGGATCCATCACCTTTCTTGTAAATCGGTATGATCACCGACTCACACCATTCAGCTGGAACCTGTTCCCTTTCCCACACTGAGCCCAGAGGTTTTGTCAACTCCATCCTTAAACGCTGTTGGGAACAGCCCATCTGGGCCAGAGGCCTTATGCCTTTTGAGATACCTTATTTCTGTAGAAACCTCCATTTCAGATGGAGGGCTAGCATCAACTGGGTGTATTTCTCCAGTCGAGGCGGAGGGTGAAAGATAAGCATTCGATGGGGGCCAGTTGAAATGAGCCTTGAAGTGTTCAGCCCAGCAACCAAGACGGCGTTGCTGATATTGAATCAATGTGCCATCGGATTCCTCAATTACCTCACGGCTATTTTTCTAGGACCCGTATTCTTAATTAGATGGAATTGGTCACGACTATTTCCAATAACCGCAGTTTTCTCCATCTCTTTACACTTTTCTACCCACCACTTCTGGCGGTCATTCCTCAGACTCTTGATGAGCTGGCGTTTAAGGGATTTGCGCGCTGTGTCGTATGTGGCATCCGGAGGAAGGGTTCTGCGGGAGTCCAGCAAGTCAACCGAGGTCGGCGATATCCATCGTTTGTGTTTTGAGCTTGTGGCAGGGNGGGTCCGACGTTATTTTTATCGATATCTGCATAGCTTCCTTGATTTGCTTTCAGTGCTCATTGAGTTCGGCTGGTGGTTGAACTGACAGGCGATCGGAGAGGTCCGCTTCGAAGGCCGATTTGCATGAATCGCCGACATTGTATCGTGGATATCCGTTGTCGGTGGCTTTTTTTCGGTTGTTTGCCAGGCGTAAGGAAAACTTGGCTCGTAACAAGGCGTGGTCTGTATCCACAGCTGTTGACCAGTAAGTGCGACAGTCTTGAATTGATCCCCTCCAGAGATAACTGATTGCGATGTGGTCGATTTGGGTCCAGCGCCGTGAAGAGGTTGGCAGTTTTCCATGTAAGTCGATGGCGTTTCTTGTGCGAGAAGTTCGTGTTTGACAGGAACAATCCGTGGTCCGCGCAGAGTTGAAGTAGGCGATCTCCGTTGTCCGTCTGGTTGACTGGGATTGCATGTGGTCCGCCAGGAAGCCTTTCTGATTCTTTCAGGGATCCCACTTGAGCATTGAAGTTCCTGGCGACTAATATGACGTCCGTTGATTGAATACTTTGGAGTAGTTGAGAAAGATCCTGGTGGAATCCATGCTTGATTTCCGGTATACTGCAATCGGTCGGTGCATACGCCGATACGACGAATAAGCATCGACGCTTCATTCTGTGGCTGGTGACTCGAACTGAACCGTTGAAACGTACAGGAAGTAAAATTAAAAAGAAAGAAAGGTCAAAGCTGAAGCCAGCTTCTTTATGCTTCTAACCCATGTCATGGTCTAACCGCCGCCGCGCTTCTTCAAGCCTGACCCGGCACATTCAAAGAGAGCACGGAAAGGTAGTCGCTAGGCAGGCATACGCAATACGTGACCAAGCCATCGGAGGCGGTGTAGAGCGGGTACTTCTGTTAGGGAACGACTATCCACACCCAACACACGACGATGGACCTCGTCATTGCTCACTCGATGTTTCCTCCAGGCACGAGCATTGCTTCGGAGACCTCAGCGGTCGAAAGTCGATTAGCATCCTACTCTCGGAAAAGCCAGGTCTGGCAACCCTAGAGCAGAACATTACGACTCGCGACAATATACACTCTACCCTTAAGGGACAGTCGGATGTCATGTCGGCACCACGTGTGTCGCAATTTGGCGAAAGCTGCTCTTGCTTTCGCTATTCGTTATGTGATCTCGCCCCCAACACCACCACCAGCTGCGATCAAGCTCCCGAGGTACTTAAAGCTCTCAACTACTTCCAGCTGATCACCACAGAGGGTGAGTGCAGGCACAGGCTCCTGGCAGTCTTGAACAAGCACTTTGCACTTGGAACGTGCAAAGCACATACCAAACCTGGATACCTCTGTCGCCAAGCGGTTCAAAGCGTTTTGGACTGCCTGTGTGTTGTCACCCAGCAAGGCGATGTCACCGGCATATTCCAAGTCAAGGACTCTTTTCCCTGGAAGGAGTTCGACTCCACTGTTTGCTAGACCGGATAAAGCATTTTGTAGAACACACTCTATGGCGAAGTCGAAAAGAAATGGGGATATAGGGCAGCCTTGTCGAACTCCACGGGAGACGTCGAAGGGTCATCATCATCATTGTGCAACGTAATACAGTGAAGCGAAC